CCCCCCTTTAAAAGGCCCCCCCCCCCCCCGCATTACATCCATTTAATTGTGTCGGGGAATGGATTCCCACGCTCGGTTTTGGATGTCTATTCTGGATGAATAGATAAACATCATTTAAGAACAAAATAAGGGACTTCACGGGTACATGGCTCGGCTGATTCTCTTCTGCTAGGAGTTTGATTATAAAATCTGAGCTCCGGCTGACTTAAAGGTGAACTCCGGCCTTCCCTTCCATTGTACCGGCTCCTCTCCTGGGCTGAAATAGCTTCCCCTGATAGCACTGCACACTGCAAGCTTCTCACATTAGAAGCTGCAGCCAGTCACATAGACCTTGCCTTATTTGCTAGCTGGAGGACATCCAGCATCATCTAGTCCTGGAGTGGGCAACTCCAGCCCTCCGGCTGTGCTTTAACTTCAAATTCCAACTTGCCTCTGGTAATCATGCCCGTTATTGCCAGTCTTGCAATACTTCATGGGGCTTGTAGTTCCACAACAACTGGAGGGCCAGAGTTGCCGACCCCTGATCTAGCCCTTTCCTTCCCAGCCTGACTGTCCCAGGGCCCCCTTTCATTTATTGGATTTCAGTTCTTTCAATCATGGAGGCTCAGCATCACATGTTGGCATTACCTAGTGTGTTCTGCATGCAAATGTGGCCCACCTAGGAACACCCATTGCTCCAGACCCCAAGGGTGTTTTAAGATTTGCATAACTCCTCCCAAGAGCCAGCCCCCTGCTTGCCACAAGGCTAAAGGCTCTTGAAAGGAGTAGAGGCCAGCTGCTCCCACCAGTCACAATCTGCTTGCATTGCACAGGGACCCAGTGATGATGTCGCTGGGTCGAAAACAAGGTATACAGTATGTTGAAACTGAAATGTTTTATTTGACAATTGAATTAGCATATTGATGAGGAAACGGGAGGGGGAGGGTGGGGGAGCAACCAAGGAAGGCAAACTATAAGCAGATTACATTTCAGCTTTAAATTCCCGGGCAGAAATGTTTCGACACCTGAGCATTGGAAGCACATTAGGAAGTGCGGTGCTGCCACCTGCTGTTGGATGTGTGTATGACATCTCTCGTCAGTTCTAAAACTCGCTGCGGTCCATCCACAGTCATTGCAAAGCAGCCCCCCCACGCTGCGCACCATCCACCTCTCACCACTGTAATGAAGGGATCAATTGCACCATCCACATCGCAGATCCATCAAAAATATCTGCAGCCCGCCAGGGATATCAAACAGTGGAATCCAAATGAATGCCATATTTAAAGAGAACCTGTAATTCATTTTAAACTTTTACAAGTATTGTCTTAGAGCGGATTCTACAAGATCCCAGCTATTACCTGCATTAGCCAGAAAAGCTTTCGCTGTGTGCCTTCACTGACAGTGAATCTAAATCAGAGGGGAGCACAAAAGATAGTTTTCTAGGTAGCAAAGGCAATATAAAGTGACTTCTGGGAGTGTCAAACTACTCTCTGTGTTGGACCAGCTCTTCTGCCCCTCCCTTCACCTCCCTGTATAACCTTTTCTGTAGCAGCTGTGGGGAGCAGCGATAGGGGAATACTATAAAGTGTGAACTGAGTGACACCTCTGGATCTGCTGGGGCTACTGACATCACATCCAAGATGGCGGCACCCAGCAGCCTCAGGGTTTTTGCATGTCCACACAAAGTAGGTTTAAAAAAAGAACTCTGGGCAGAAATGTTATTAACCCTTGCAGTGCAGTGCTAGGATAAAAAAAAAAATTATACTTACCCGATCCTCCGAGCCGGCAGCTCTCCCTCCTCCACTGCAACAATGGTAGGTCCCTCAGCGTCCTCACGTCCTATACACTGTACTGGAGGTGATGACTCGAGAAATCTTAGACTGCTGCTGAGGAGGGGCAGAGATGCTCCCAGAACCGGTCTTGGAGGATCGGGTGAATATAACTTCTTTTTTTTTTACCCTAGGCAAAAAATGGGCAATTAACCCTTGCAGTGCGAGATTGCCCCAATGCAAGGGTTAAAAAGGAGAACTATGGGGTTAAGGCTTTTCCCCATAGTTCTCCTTAGGGTCACGGGAGGACACAAACTAGCGTCCTCCCGGCACCCTAGGCTCAGTATACCGCGAGCAGTAGCTTGCGGTATACTGAGACGCCGCAGCTGAAGCGGATCCCGACAATTGTGCCGGGATCCGCCCAGCTGCGTGACTGACAGCTGGCTCTGCCTATCTAGAGGCAGAGCCAGCTGTACCCGCCCCCTCCCGTTCCGCCAGTCAGCGCTGGCAGATCGGAGCAGGGAGAGGGGAATCCAGCCCCTCCTCCTGTCACGGCAGAGAGCCGTGACAGGATTTGTGTTCGCTCACCTCCCGATCTACTGAGCCGACCTGTGACAGTCTCATTGTCACAGGTCGGCTAGCACTATGAGGTGAGTGAAAAGCACTCATCTCATAGTTCTCCTTTAATAACATTTCTACCTCGAGTTTTTTAAATGCATAAAATGCTCATACAATGTTATAGGAAGATATTTGTTGAAATTAATGATTTGATAACAGGGTGCCATCGTGGCATTTTATATGGATTTTATGTATTTATGTTTCCAAGAATCTGCGAAAAGGTAAGGGCAAGGGCAAAGTGCGTGCAAATAGAGGTTCCAGGCTAAAACCTTAATTTGCAGTGCAGAGAATGATCAGCAAATGCATGGCGAATGTGAGCGTAGACATTTGTTAGCAGGTAGACACAGAAACAGCGAGCCATATTCAGAGGAATATACAGATGTCGGCAAAAATTGGCGAATATCCTTTGATTGGACAAATGTCTGACCTGCTAATGTGCTTATAAATGTGACGAGTCTTTCACAGCGAAAGCCCAGCATGAAAGAGGCAATTGATTGGTGAATCAATCATGGGCCGAGTTATAATATTAAACTATCTCTGAGCCAGTTACATTTTAGGAAAGGTACAATGTCGCCATCTGCTGCTCACAGAGGGACTTGCAGCCCATACCTGGTTCCCGTCGTATATGAAGCCCTTTTTCAGCTGCAGCAGAGCTAATCTGGCAAGAACAGGGGACCTCTGAGAGCTGCTGTTGAGGGCCAAAGAGAGCATCTTATGGGCTTCTTCTATGCGGTCCATCTGATAGAGAGCATCGGTACATAGGATGCGGCACAGGTCGTCCGTGGGGTCCAGCATCATCAGGAGCATGGCCAGCTGGTGGACACCCGAAACATCACTAAACAAGAAGGTAAATGATGGACTTTAGTACAAGTAATCTGCAGTAAACATGGTCAACCTTAAGCTACCCACCTATCACCAGCAAACCTTAAAGTGTATGTATAGTCAAAGCTGTTTGGATACCGTAGGGAACGGCTAAAACCGCTAACAATTTATTTTTTTGCTGCTGGTTTACTATTGAGGACATTTTTCTTCACTTCCTCTCCCAAAGAGGCAACAGGAAGTTAGTTGGGGGAACTTCCCTTCTTAGACAGTCATTCCCATTGGAAGATTTCCCCTTACTTCTTGTTCTGGAGACGACTCTAACATTTTGGTGTTCCCCTCACTTTCTTTCTTGACAATGGTCATCAGCAGGTGTATACTGGTCTATTAAAGCACTGGAGGATGCTCCAGTGGGCCCCGAGTACATAGGGAAAACATTGTTTACATGATATAAAAACGATATGTCACTTATCAGTTTTAATGATGTTTCCGCCCTACAAATACAGCGGTTCATGCGGTAGTTGGCAGATCGCTATGTTGTCAGTTACGGAGTCTGACCGGCCCTCTGACTGCAGCCCGCTCATCTTCATGATGCTGCTGATAGGGCATTCGGAGAATGAGCAGTGGGCCTTCCTTCTCCCTTTAATGGTGGACCCCATATACCGTATTTTGTGATATGGGAAGAAATGAAAGTATCCAGAAGAAATTGCCACAAACACATGAAGAGCAAGCAAAGCCCACACAGACTTTTGGTGTCCTTGGTAGGGATTGGATCCAGGATCTCAGAGCTGCACCAGGAAGTGATTGAAAATTTGCTCGGGGAGGGGGGAATCCAGCCCCCTCCCCTGTCATGGCTCTCCTGCCGTGACAGGATCGAGAAGTGAGTGAACGCCGGTATGTGTTCGCTCACCTCCCGATCTACTGAGCCGACCTGTGACAGTCTCATTGTCACAGGTCGGCTAGCACTATGAGGTGAGTGAAAAGCACTCATCTCATAGTTCTCCTTTAATAACATTTCTACCTCGAGTTTTTTAAATGCATAAAATGCTCATACAATGTTATAGGAAGATATTTGTTGAAATTAATGATTTGATAACAGGGTGCCATCGTGGCATTTTATATGGATTTTATGTATTTATGTTTCCAAGAATCTGCGAAAAGGTAAGGGCAAGGGCAAAGTGCGTGCAAATAGAGGTTCCAGGCTAAAACCTTAATTTGCAGTGCAGAGAATGATCAGCAAATGCATGGCGAATGTGAGCGTAGACATTTGTTAGCAGGTAGACACAGAAACAGCGAGCCATATTCAGAGGAATATACAGATGTCGGCAAAAATTGGCGAATATCCTTTGATTGGACAAATGTCTGACCTGCTAATGTGCTTATAAATGTGACGAGTCTTTCACAGCGAAAGCCCAGCATGAAAGAGGCAATTGATTGGTGAATCAATCATGGGCCGAGTTATAATATTAAACTATCTCTGAGCCAGTTACATTTTAGGAAAGGTACAATGTCGCCATCTGCTGCTCACAGAGGGACTTGCAGCCCATACCTGGTTCCCGTCGTATATGAAGCCCTTTTTCAGCTGCAGCAGAGCTAATCTGGCAAGAACAGGGGACCTCTGAGAGCTGCTGTTGAGGGCCAAAGAGAGCATCTTATGGGCTTCTTCTATGCGGTCCATCTGATAGAGAGCATCGGTACATAGGATGCGGCACAGGTCGTCCGTGGGGTCCAGCATCATCAGGAGCATGGCCAGCTGGTGGACACCCGAAACATCACTAAACAAGAAGGTAAATGATGGACTTTAGTACAAGTAATCTGCAGTAAACATGGTCAACCTTAAGCTACCCACCTATCACCAGCAAACCTTAAAGTGTATGTATAGTCAAAGCTGTTTGGATACCGTAGGGAACGGCTAAAACCGCTAACAATTTATTTTTTTGCTGCTGGTTTACTATTGAGGACATTTTTCTTCACTTCCTCTCCCAAAGAGGCAACAGGAAGTTAGTTGGGGGAACTTCCCTTCTTAGACAGTCATTCCCATTGGAAGATTTCCCCTTACTTCTTGTTCTGGAGACGACTCTAACATTTTGGTGTTCCCCTCACTTTCTTTCTTGACAATGGTCATCAGCAGGTGTATACTGGTCTATTAAAGCACTGGAGGATGCTCCAGTGGGCCCCGAGTACATAGGGAAAACATTGTTTACATGATATAAAAACGATATGTCACTTATCAGTTTTAATGATGTTTCCGCCCTACAAATACAGCGGTTCATGCGGTAGTTGGCAGATCGCTATGTTGTCAGTTACGGAGTCTGACCGGCCCTCTGACTGCAGCCCGCTCATCTTCATGATGCTGCTGATAGGGCATTCGGAGAATGAGCAGTGGGCCTTCCTTCTCCCTTTAATGGTGGACCCCATATACCGTATTTTGTGATATGGGAAGAAATGAAAGTATCCAGAAGAAATTGCCACAAACACATGAAGAGCAAGCAAAGCCCACACAGACTTTTGGTGTCCTTGGTAGGGATTGGATCCAGGATCTCAGAGCTGCACCAGGAAGTGATTGAAAATTTGCCAAATAGGGACACCTGTCTTGGTGAAATTTCCTTCATCTTTCTGCCATTTCAGGAACTGAGAAGAAATCTATGTTATGTTCATTAAATGTCATATTGTTTCCTATATCTACCAGAACTGGAGGGATGATCTTGTGGAGATGACTAGTTAGTTGACCACTCTCATTTTCTAACCAGATGAATGATGGTTACCATGGGCCCGGCGTCGGGGCAACAGGGAGCAGAGGGGCAGCAGGGGTGTGGAATTCCTATCTCCCGACGGCTGGGACATGCAGTTCCGGGCCCCGGGCGGGTAGTTGTTTTCTACATTTAGCACTGCTTTGGGCAGCAGGGCTAAATGTACAGCGGGGAAGCCGCCGTTTGTTTTGTACAAGTGATCTCGGCAATGTTGCCGAGATCACTTGTATGCAGCCTGCACACAA